GGTATATGCTGGATGACAGTGTGGTATGGCAAATCTGAGATATCTCATCCAACCTTGGCTGAAAAAAGTGGGGGGAAAGGGGGAGGGGAGGGGGGGGGGGGGGGTTACTCACTTAAGCCACCAGACTTTCATTGGGGAGAGGGTGGAGGGGGAGGGGGGGGGGTTGAAGTGAGTATTTACATACTTAATTAAGTGAACAAACACATTTTCATTGAGGAGGGAAGGAGTGGTAGTGTTGGTGTATGCACTTAAACCACCGAACACATTTTCTTTGGGAAAATGGGGGGGGGGGGGGGAAATTGCACTTAAGCCAGCAAACACATTTTCATGTAGATGGGGGTGGGGTGGGAGGGCTATGCACTTAAAGCTACTAAACACATTTTCACTGGGGGAGTGGGGTGGAGGATATCGGTCCCCCTTCCCCCAACTTTTCCACCTTCCAGAAAACGTATAAGCACTAAGTGGATCCCACCTAGCTATCAATAAAACGTATCTTGTTAGCAGTTCTTAATATATAATAGTTCAAATATAGTACAACATTGATTTGTTATTCAGCCAGTGCTGGATTTTTTGCATAAGCCAATTAAGCTGCAGATCAGGGCCTCACAATCCTTTGGACCACCATTTATAGTTTTAACATTTTGCCACAGAAGTATTGAAAACAGTTATTATATTTTAATCATCCGTATGTTTAAAAGGGGCTGCGTGGTCTCGAGGCATGGTGTCCGCTTCAAGTGTTAGAGGTTCTGGGTTCAATCCCCAGTAAGGGCTGGGATTTTTTCCTGTGGACTTGGACTTCTAGTAAATCCCCCCTGGTCTCTGGGTAGTGAGATCGGACGCCAGTGTGTATGGTAACGCACTTAAAAATCTCTTGGCAGTTAGATATTGAAAAGAGTAGCCTAACGGCGCTGCCCAGGCAAAAAAATTTAATAAAAATCTACCCTAAAAAGTATTTCAGGATCCTCACCGGTGTTACAGAGACTGTGCACTGTGCTGAACTTGTTCGGACTCAGACTTGAGTTAAAAGAAAGAACAGACCACTTACTGGTTACTACCCATGTGCCATGATATTGATCCGTTGTTGAAACCTCAAACCTTATGTTTTAGAGGTATACATTTTTCCCTCGAAGTCGGCGTACAGCTGCCCAAGAGGCAGGGAAATGAAAAACGGTTGTACACGCAAAAATCAGGTCCAGGTGAAAGCCAAAAGTCCAGGCGGGCGATTAACCGGGACCTTCCACTGGAATTCACAGCCGGTGTTCGATGAAAAAAAAAAAAAAAAAAAAGAGGTATACATGTTTTACAGTTTTCTGAGAATAGCTGGTGTAATTTAAAACAGTAGGGGCCTCAGGACTTTATATAGTTTTAGGTTCTCATCAAGTCTAAACGAGTCCTGCATACGGCACGTGGTTCTTATTTGTGTATTCACTTAAACAAGGCTTAAGCCAGTTGAGCGCCCCATAGCAACTTTGTAAATGGGCTAGGGTACTCCCCCCTACCCCCCCAACCCCTAAGTTTTCATCATGTCAGCACTCCTAACAGGAGGGCAAAAGTGTCAGAAAAAACCAAGTAGAGTACAGACTGCTGAAGGCAATCTAGGATGTGGCAAATTTCGGTTAGGAAGAACAATTAGTTTACCCTTGGCAGTTTGTCTTGCTTGAACTCTTATTGTCTGGATGAGAAGAATTTTTGGATAAGAAGAACCATTTCTTTAGTCATGGGTGAGTTCTCATAGACACATAAGCCTCTATACTTCAAGGTAGAAGAGGAGGGACTAAGTAAGTTAAGTGTAGTGTTGAATCTGTGAAGACCGCAGTCTGTGTCAATTAATTTCACAAGGGAGGGTGATGGTTGTTCTAATGGTTTTCATTGGCACAGGAACGGAGCAACTATGGGGTGACCCGTTTGCTGTGAAGCAGGAACTGTGACTACCTGACGTATCTAACAGTCAAACAAACACATGTAACAGTCAAACACATGTAACAGACAAACACATGTAACAGCAAACACATGTAACATCAAACACAAGTAACAGTCACACATGTAATAGTCAAACACATGTAACAGTCAAACACATGTAACAGTCAAACACATGTAACAGTCAAACACATGTAACAGTCAAACACTTATGCTAGGTGGCAAGGCACTTTATGGTAATGATAGATTATGCATTAATTGTAACAGATTGTAGGAATATAGATTATTAAATTTAATACATTTCAAGTATACTCTTCAAATAATTGTGATAATCATATTGTGTAATATATCTTTGGGAATGCGGCGTCCTTGGTTTAGGCGTTGCAAAAATTTGGGTAATGGTTCAACATATATTATGTACCATAGATGTAACTGTAAAACATATTAACTGTATAACATATGTAATGGTAAAACAAGTGTAATGGTAAATCATATGTATCGCTAAAACATATGTAACAGTAACACATATGTAACAGTAATACAAATGTAATGATAAAACATATGTAACAGTAAAACACATGTACTGGTAAAACATATGTAATGAGACAACATGTAATATACAACAATACAAGCAATAGTAATCAGTAGATCATGTGTTATAGTAATCAGTAGATCATGTGTTATAGTAATCAGTAGATCATGTGTTATAGTAATCAGTAGATCATGTGTTACAGTAATCAGTAGATCATGTGTTACAGTAATCAGTAGATCATGTGTTACAGTAATCAGTAGATCATGTGTTACAGTAATCAGTAGATCATGTGTTACAGTAATCAGTAGATCATGTGTTACAGTAATCAGTAGATCATGTGGTTACAGTAATCAGTAGATCATGTGTTACAGTAATCAGTAGATCATGTGTTACAGTAATCAGTAGATCATGTGTTACAGTAATCAGTAGATCATGTGTTACAGTAATCAGTAGATCATGTGTTATAGTAATCAGTAGATCATGTGTTATAGTAATCAGTAGATCATGTGTTATAGTAATCAGTAGATCATGTGTTATAGTAATCAGTAGATCATGTGTTACAGTAATCAGTAGATCATGTGTTACAGTAATCAGTAAATCATATGTAACAGTAATAGTAACACACAGTAATCAGTAGATCATGTGTTATAGTAATCAGTAGATCATGTGTTATAGTAATCAGTAGATCATGTGTTATAGTAATCAGTAGATCATGTGTTATAGTAATCAGTAGATCATGTGTTATAATAATCATTAGATCATGTGTTATAGTAATCAGTAGATCATGTGTTATAGTAATCAGTAGATCATGTGTTATAGTAATCAGTAGATCATGTGTTATAGTAATCAGTAGATCATGTGTTACATAAAACCAATGTTAATTTGCCCCTTTTGAATACCAACAAATGATTTTTGTCCAAATTATCAAATTAAGTTTAAAAATGATTTTTGTCAAAATTATCAAATTAAATTAAAAAATGATTTTTGTCTAAATTATCAAATTAACATCATTATGATGTTATTAGGATGATACAGATTTTACAAACAGCTTTTTTTTTTCAACCTTAATAATAAAAAGTAAGGTAAAGGACCCGTTCTCACGCCTTTCAGGCATACTGGGTATGTAGGGCTAGACCTATATTTTATAGACCAAACGGCCCTTGGTGGTTGTTGAGGTCAGCATCACGCTGGCCGTCTTTACTTCCCAGGACTGTACCTCACTGTACCTTTTTTTTCAAAAAACTCAAGGACCTGGGATCCAAGGTCATTTTTTTTTAAAGTCAGGCCCTCGTCAGGACCCAAACTCACGACTTTCTGATCCACAGGCAAGCATCTAGCTGCTTGACCAAGGCGGCTCCCACCCTCAATAATACTTAAAAAAATATAAAAAAACTAGACATCTGGTGAAAACTGAGGACAAACACATTCAAATAAACTGTTTTTTTTTTTTGCTGTGGGAAATTTTCACCTCTGACAGCAGTGGCAGTTTCCTTTTCCTTCATTTGTAGACTAAAAGGATATAGTTTTGTCACCCAGCTACTGAGCCAAGTGCATGCACTGTGAGCTGCAGATTTCACTTTTTATTTTTTTTACTATGACCAACACAGTGTTGTAAACTGTAGATTAAAAAAAAATGGCAAAGTGCTGGTGCCTTATGGGCTTAAGATTAATCGCATGTGCAACTACTGATCTGTTTGTAACTGCTGCTTCAATCAATGATGAACAGCATTTCTAATGTAAGACTGTTTGTGTTAGCACTTCTTACGGCTGCCTTATGCTTTTAATGCACGTGTTTGCTAGTGGATATGATAAGACTGCAGTCTGTGTCAATTTACCCACAAGAAACAATGATGAACATTCTGTTTGTATCTCGTTGGCACAGGAGTAGAGCAACTATGGGACGGCCCGTTTGCTATGACAATGAAATTTTTAAACTTAAAAGAATGTGTTTGAGTATATAGGATATACTCATCATGTCTACACAGAATGCTTGCAACCAGTATGAAAGTTGTTGTATTAGTACAGTAACCACTGCCCTATAACAAACTCTGTGTCGTCAAAAAACCCCTAAAAGCCTGAAAAAATACTTTTTAATGTCAACAGGGTGTTAGTCACAGAAAATAATAAACAAGGAAAAATATCCACTGAAGTTACAGTAATAAATTTTTGCTAAAGAATGCTGAAAAAATACTAATTGCTGTGTTTTGAAAGACATAAGGATATAAAGAAAACATAAACAAACAAAAGAATAATCAGAAAAATAAGGTCACTTTTTCTTTGTTTGTTCCATAATGAGATGAGAACAGTTCGGGATTCTTTTGTAACAACTAAAAATATTTTGGAAAAAAAAAAGGAAAGAAAGCTAGCATAAGGGTATTCTTCATGGTCTTTCAAAATGGCAGGGAAAAATTTGAGAACATAATCAATTCTGACAGAGCTCACAAGATACGGAGAAGAATGAATGCATATGCTCACAAGATATGGAGAAGAATGAATGCATTGTCAGTCAGCAAGGCACTTGATGTTATGTAAGATTCTCCCCTTAATTAGCTAGAAGCAACATCTCCTCCAGGATCTCCCACAAGATGGTCTCCTTTGGATATTCATTATCCACCAAGTTGACGAGATAGTAGTTGTCATGGATGTACTGAATGACCTCCCTGGATTTGGAATTTTGAGGATAAATCTCTGCCCAGGTCTCCAGCCACAGAGCAAATGCCTCATCCTGAAACAGATGCCAGAACTATCATGAAAGCTCTAGAAAGTATTCTTTCACCTTTTTACACTCACAGACAGGCATAACAGGAGACATTTGATTTAAACAAACGTTAGTCTCCCATGGGAAGTAGGTCACAATTCATTGATAAATTTGTTGGACTAGTCTACTGTGGTCGAGGTTATGGGTGTGGTGCTCTGTTGTTGTCTTGCATTTACCTTTTTATTCCAAGAAAGAGACTGCCTGTGACATAGGTTGCATCACTCTCTCTGGGTGGGGGGGGGGGGGGGGGGGGGGGGGTTGTGTGTTAGACCCATTTTCTGAATGTTTTTGTAGTGTCATAAGCGCCTGCATGGTGAAATATATAACAAGCAATGTCAGCGGCATTGGAAAACACACCCGTCACCTTGCGTAAAGGTTGGGTGTCTCAAGACTGACCATTCAGAAGTGAGCTAGTGTGTACCAGTGTGTAGAATGGGGGGGGGGGGGGGGGGGGGGGGGCAATGTATGTTTTACCGACATTTGTTTTGAAGATCACCGGGCAGCGTAAAAAAAGTATGTAGTAGTTTATCTGTGAAATCCGATGCCACAAAATTACAATTTCAGTTTATGCAACATCTGCTGCTGCTTAAAGATAAGAAAATGTACGCAGCAATGTTTTGTTGAAATCATTTAGCTGCTACATGACTAGGCATTTCTGCAGACCAACAATGGAATGATGATTTCCCTGATCACTTTAAATATTCCCGAAGATAAGTAAAGATCTCTTTTCACACCTTTAGGGGTATCGGGTACATGGGAAGAGCGCCCATATTTTTACAGACCATCGGCACTAGGTGGGTAATATGGTCAGCATTAAGCTGGTCATCTTTACTTCCCCAGGACATCCATGCTGGTACTCATATTAGGCTGGGTCGACCTGTGACGCCCCATACTGTGATAAAAATCCATGCAGCCAGCAGTGGGTTTTGATCGCGGTACATTGGAAATACGAGTCGGACTCACAACCCCTAGGCCACGGATGCCACATTCCAAAAGATATATTACACGATATGATTATTATAATTATTTGAAAAAGTAAACTTAAAATGTATTAAATTTAATAATCTATACTCCTACAATCTGTTACAATAAATGCATAATCTATCATCACCATCAAGTGTCTTGCCAGCTGGCATAGGTATTCCTGCATCTCCACAGATCTTAGTCTTTGGTGTTCTGGATCAATTCCACTGATGATATTCCTCCATGCCACTGGCTTCAGCCATCCACCATCATTTCTCTTGGTCAACCTCTGCCTTTTCTACCAGTGAATTTTCCAGTCGTCACAATATTTTCCAGTGTTCTTTTTCTCATCACATGACTAAAGAACTTTGTTTGTCTCCTTCTCACTGTATATATATATATATCCTGATTGTGACCCAGATGAGTTCAACAGGATTTTGTTTAAATTATTTATTACTGCCACTTCTAGATGCCTGATTTTTCTGAGAAGATCAACATGTTTAATTTACAATTATTTATTTTGCAATAGTAAAAACATTATAAATTTGTTTTTACACCGTCACATCAGACTAATGTTGTAATTTTTAAATTTAAAACAAAAACAGAAAAACTCCTCTTCTGAAAGTTAGGACCCTGCAGGTTATTATTTCATCTTTGCCCTAAACAGAAAGAAAATATGCAACCTTGCCGAGGATTTCAACCTGGGTCTCCAGCATGACTGCCCTGCCTTCTCAACTGTTTGACCAGCCATTCCTTTGTTGCTAAACCCAAATTATTTGTCTACCAATCAACGGATGAACTGGTCAGTATCAAGCTCATCATCCCACAATATGAAGTAACCTTTTTTATGCCAATAACAAATCAGGCATTTGAAACTCGACACACAATTATCTAGAGACCAAGCAGTGCTTGTCAGATAATGTGGTCAACATCACACCAGCTGCCTTTACTTCCCATGACATTACCTGGTACCAGTTTTAAGCTAGGAGCCAGGGTCAATCACACACAAAATGATTTAAAAGTTACAAGTTACCTTCCAGATCTTGAAAGCCTCAGGGTCAACAACTGTTGGCTGGACAATTTCCTTGCCTGGAAAGACCCCCCATGTGACCGCAATAGGCTGGAGTTCATCACAATTTGTGTAGTCATCAGCACCCTATTTTGACACAGGATAATGAGCACATAGTGAAGTAATAAAGGACCCTTTTCCACACCTTTAGGCATATAGGGCATATACAGGGCTAGACCAATATTTTATAGACCAATCAGCACAAGATGTGTGATGTGGTCAGCATCACGCCGGCCGCCTTTAATTCCTGGGACTGCACCCGGTACCCACTCAAGGCTGGGTCGACCTGAGAGCTAAGGTCATTTTTGAAAAAAGTCCGGCTCCGCCAGGAAGTGAACCCACAACCTTCCAATCCGCGGCGAGCGCCTAGCCGTTCTGCCACGGCAACTCCCATTATGAGCACATGCAACACATTTCTTAGGTGAAAAGAGCTGAAGAGTGAGCCATCTGGGCTTTTTTGAGCTTTCTGGGTGCTGCTTCATTTTTAGAACAAGCCTCCTTCCATCTTAAAAAACCGATTTTATATTTGTGCTTTTTAGACTTCTTTACAGCTAGTTGAGAGGGTCTCCATGGTGAAGTGGTCTAGCTGTTTGCCCTGAGCTCTGAAAGTCACTGATTCAGGTCAGGGCTACGCCCCTCAGTTCATGAATGCAATTTTTATGGGATCGCCATCAGACCTATAGAATTCATGCTTTGTCTGACACTCTCGGCAGGCAACAAGCCATTCTCTGGACAAAGACTGAGCTGTATTGGATAAAACCTGGTGCAAGAAGCAGATCCTCTCGACTTTAAACTGTAACCTTTATAGCTAGTTGACTTTAGAGGCTTCATATTTATGGCATGGGGAGCCAGTGCAATGTACAGGCTAGATACTTGCCCACCAGCGTTCTTCTTCTTCTCTGTTCACCGTCTGTAAGCTCTGGTGGAAAGTCCTGGTTGTTCATCCATCAGGACTTTTGGCTTTGTGCCAGATCCTGAGTTTTGCATGTACGTCTATTTTACTGGCTTATTTGTGTGCAGTTAGTTGTACGTGGGGAGCCCGCCGGCCTGAAAGAGAGTTTAAGTCTGACTTTTTTTTTTCCTAAACTGACATCGGCTGCCAGGTTGGCCCAGAATTAAATGGATACCAGGTAATTTCCTGACAAGTAAAGGTGGCTGGCAAGATGTCAACCAATTCACCCATTTAGTGCTAACTGTTCTAACAAAAATATGTGTCATGGACCCATGAAACGACTGATTCTGTAGCACTGTTTTGAAAGATGTGTTTTTGCACTGGTGGACTTTAGGGATACATGTGTTGTGTGGTTCAACAGTAAACAGAAGAGGTGAGCAGGTACTATTGTTCCTGATAAATCCATGACATCTGATATTGAGGGATGTATACAGTGATAGGAGAAGATATGGAGCACTACTAAGATATGCCAGGATGCTCTGTGAGATTAATCATTGCAACACACATCGCTCTGAGGTAGTCTAAGAAGATTAGCATGAGCAGGTGATGGATGGCAGCGAGGACTGATAACAGACATTTACAGTGGAAATGAGATAACGAGGAACGCTGGTTGGACAACGCCCTACGTGATACAGGACATTTATCTTGCCGTCAGGAAGACATCTGATCATGAATCCTGGGTGCAGGGTATGCCAGGCTTTAGATAAGACGGGACCAACAGAGAAGAAGCTAGGAAGATGGAGATAAACTGGTGGACAAATAGATGACAGCAGGGTGAGAAATCACTCGAGCTTGGAGAAGAAAAGAGATAATGAAATTAATGAGAAATGGGCGATGGGGAGAGAAGGGGTGGAGAGGAGGAGAATGCAAGGATGGGGAATGAGAGTGTCAAATGGGCAGTTAAAACCAGGCGTCTTAGCCTGGTGGTCGCAAAACAAGGACTCTAGTGTGTGAACACAGCAGTTACTGTATGATCAAAAGCTAAGCTTAGTTAGAAGAGACTTAGCAAAGATTAGTAATAGCCAATAACCTGTTTAAGGGTGCAACGATCATCATAGCAACTTATACTGTAGGGTTCACATTATCTACTATACTGTTAGAAAGATGCACTGTGAACAAAAAACAGTGAGGAATGATTGCATAGTGATAGTTTGGTTTGTAGGGACTGACAGGTTAGGTTTTTGCAAAAACTGACGACGATTACTGCTCGGTTTGACATTCCTTTAAAGACAGTTTATAACTGAAAAAAGCAACTTTTGTAAGAAACAAAAACAAAAAACTGACAATTACAGCCTTTATAATAGCACTTTTGCAGTGAAGGCATGGGATCTTTGTGTCTGAGAGTTAAGGGCTGCATGGCTAGTGCTGTCGCCACAGACTATGCAGCTGAGTATTTTTGTTTTTTTCACCTAACAGAAAAATCCCCATGTCTTACAGAGGAATCGAACCCGGGTCTCCCAGATGCACTAACAGCGTTTAAAAAGTGCTTTATTTCACTTTCTACTGATGAGACAAGGAAGCAAACAAGCAGCCTTGGATGTAACAACATGCCTGGTAGGCTGCCTGGTTGCTGATGAGAGCTGTCACCATCCGTTTATCCATTTATGAAAAATGAAACAACAAAATCGACCACATTCAACCTGCTGTGAGCGGTATCAGTTATAACTGTGGTCTGGTTTGCTCAGCGACTCAGTGAGCATGCAACAGAAGATCAAGGTGGGGTACATATGGAAACAGTGGCTCCATCTGATATAGCATTCAGCGTTTTGCTAAATCACTTTTATTTTTGTGCGAGGACATGTTAGTGTGAAAGGCAATGAGAGCAGCAGATACTCTGGCTGGCAGCGCGACTTTCAGGAATGGGCCCTCAATGGACAGAAGAGACATCATCAATGCCATACGCTGTGAGGATTTTAGTTTTATGGAAAATGATTTTTCACTGAACAGACTGCATACCCTATGTGTACTGATTGGAGCCATGAGAACAGTAAAACCTGAGAAAGCCACCCCTCGTTATATAAACCAGAACAAAGTGGGAGCTGTTAGTCTAAAAACACTTGGGCACAGACTCAGGAGGAGATCGGAGCACTTATGGTCATGTCCAATGTGCAATTAAAGATGATCTCAGAAATGAATGATGACATTTTTTTTTGGGTGTGTAGGCCAACTATGTTGGCTAAGAAATGTTAATTGCACCTTCTTTTTTCTTCTTCTTCTGCACCAAAATTCATGCTAAACATTGGCGTTGGAGCAATAGGATTGTGCGTTTAAGGTCGCCACCGGTCCCCCATAGCTTCTCTTGCAATGTAGCTCCTTTGGGCCAGATCCACAGTGTTAATTGCACCAAAATTAGTAGCTTGGAGCGGTATTCTAGTACCTAGTGAGGTTTGTTGGGGAGCAGGCTGGTATATACTATATACACCCACATGCATATATAGACATACATGTACAATTATATTTGAACGTTAAATTCATCACGCACACATGATGCATGACATCATGTCACCACAACATCCTTTGTTTATCACAGACCTCCAAATGGGGCATCCTGAGCAAGGAAAAGTCATATATTCACAAATTCCCATTTATTTACAAACTCTCTCTCTCTCTTGCCCCCCCCCCCCTCCTTCTATCTCTCTCTCTCTTTCTCCCTCTCAAGCAGGCATGCATGCACATGTGCATACATGCATGCACATGCATGCTCCCAAACACACATTTGTTCATAAACTCAAATTTATTTACACACACATTTATTCACAAACTCACATTTATTTAGAAACACACATATATTTATTTACAAATGTATCATCATCATCATCATCATCAGGTGCCTTGCCGACTGGCATGGGCGATCATGTCTCTCCATAATCCGCGATCTCCTGCAGCATTATCAGTTCGTGTGCCGACACACCTCCATGCCAAGCAACAAGACAGTCAAGAATCTTCTCTCGTTGTCTTCCTCTATCCCTCCTTCCACAGATCTTTCCAGTGGTCACAACATGTTCTATTTTCCCTCTTCTCATAACATGGCCGAAAAATGATGACTGTCTCCTTCTGATGTCTGTGATAAGTTGTCTTCGGGCTCCCACCTCTTTCAAAACCTCTTGGTTGCTCTTTTTGGCTTTCCAAGGTATTCTAAGCATTTTTCTGTAAAACCACATCTCTGAAGCCTCAAGAAATTGTTTGACCTGCCTACCGATTGTCCAAATATGTGTATACACACAAATGTATACACACAAACGTATACACACAAACGTATACACACACACGTATATACACACACACGTATATACACACACATGTATACACACACAATGGTATACACACACACATGTATACACACACCCGTATACACATACACGTATACACACACACACATATACACACACACGTATACACACACACATATACACACACACATATACACACACGTATACACACACACGTATACACACACACACATGTATACACACACACGTATACACACACACGTATACACACACACGTATACACACATACGTATACACACATGTATACACACATATACACACACACATACACACATGTTTACACACACACGTATACACACACACATATACACACACACATATACACACACACGTATACACACAAACGTATACACACAAATGTATACACACACATAAATGTTTTCAAAAACACAGTTATTCATACACACATGCACGCAAGCTCATGCACGCACACACATTTATTAAAAACGCACATATTTTCCCACAACCACAAATTTATTAACAAACAAACGCACACAAATGCACACTTACATCTTCAAATACACATATAATTTTACACACACACACATATACATACATATTTATTCATACACATCAGTGATGAGTGTAACTTACAGAATGATTGATGATGTGGTAGTTGACTAGTGGGTATCCCAGCAGCACCTTCTTCAGCACCGCCACATTCTCTCTCGATGTAAAAAATTCTACGTAAGCCTAAGAGCAGTAAAAATAATGTAAAAAATATGCCTAGGAACAATACAACTAAGGCAAACATTTGCCTAGGAACTGAAAATAAATAAAAGAAATGTACAATTTTAGCATACAACTAGGAAGGCATGAAAAGAAATAGAAGATGGGATGAAGGAGCCACGGACAACAGACTTCATAACATGGCATATGAAGCGACTGAGCTCGCCCTGGCTCGGTTGCCGATCATCTGATAGACTGCGACTCCTAGCGGCACAAGCAGATTTTGACAAAAGAAGAAGAATGTACAATTTTGGGACTCGCTGTGGTCTAGCAGCTTGCCTGTGGATGAAAGTCATGGATTCGGTTCCTGACAGAGGCAAGACTTACTTCAAAAATGACTTTGGCTCCTAGGTCCACCCAACCTTGAGTGGATACCAGGTTAAGTCCTAGAAAGAAAAGGCAGCCGGCATGATGCTGACCACATCACCCACCAAGTGTCGTTTGGTCTATAAAAATATAGGTCTAGCCCATATATACTCAACATGCCTGAAAAGGCATGGAAAAGGGTCCTTTAACTTTTTATTGTACAAATTTGCCAAGGACAATAAGAGTAATTAAAAATTAGCCTAAGAGCTGTAAATTAATGTAACAGTTAATCTAGGAATAATAAAGTAAGGTAATTGGACCCTTTTTAAGCCAGTGGCAAACTGGGCATTTGATGCAAATCTCTATGTAGACCAATCAGTCTTGACGGTGATGGGGTCAACATCATGTCAGCCCCTTTCGGGTGCACGTAATTAATGTTAATCTCCCCACGCCCCGCCCATATACACACTAGCTCACTTCTGATTGGTAGTTTCTGAATCTGTCACCTCGGCACAAGGTTGGGGGGAGGCGGGGGTGTTCAGCAATGCTGTTGATATCGCTAGTGCTTTTAAAACTCCAAAAACAATCCCATTAGAGAGTGCTCCGGCCTATGTTACAGGCATTCTCTTTCTCGGAATGAAAATGTAAATGCAAGACATCACAGAAAGCAAACAGCAGAGCGGGACACACGTAACCTTCAGGAAAGTAGACCAGTCCAACAAACGTGTGAATGAAAAGTGACCTACTCTATTTGGGAATATTACCGCTACTTTAACCCCACTTTTGTTTCCTAGGACGTGACCTGGTTCTCATGTTATGCTGAGCTGACTGGGAACAAAAGACATCTAAAAAAAAAAATTGATGCATTTTTGAACCCAGATTTTCAGGCTGGTAGACAAGTATCTTGCCACCAAACAAATTGACTGACCTAGTGTTATGACCTGATGGAATTTCATAAACTCCATGTGTGGTTTCCTGGGTCCCAATTTGGGGTTTTGGGGTGGGGGGGGGGGTGGATGGGGAAAGGGGGAAAATGGTTGGGGGGGGGGGGGGCAACAGTAGTTATGATATGAAGTGAAGTTATGAAGTACAATCTGTAGTTATAAAATGAAGTGAAGTTTTGGAGTTAAAGTTTGAAGTTATAATATAAAGTGAAGTTTTGAAGTTACGGCCTGAAGTTACAATATAAAGTGAAGTTTTAAAGTTAAGGTCTGTAGTTATGAAATAAAGTGAAGTTTTAAAGTTATGGTCTGTAGTTACGATATGAAGTTTTGAAGTTACGGTCTGTAGTTATGATGTGAAGTAACCATCTGTTGTTATGATGTGAAGTTAGGTTTTCAAGTTACCGTCTGTAGTTATGATATGAAGTGTAGTTTTGAAGTTATGGTCTATAGTTATGATACGAAGTGAAATATGGTCTATATTTATGATACGAAGTGAAGTTTTAAAGTTAGGTCTGTAGTTAAGATATGAAGTTTTGAAGTTACGGTCTGTAGTTATGATGTGAAGTAACCGTCTGTTGTTATGATGTGAAGTGAAGTTTTGAAGTTATGATCTAAAGTTATGATGTGAAGTGAAGTTTTGAAGTTATGGTCTGAAGTTATGATATGAAGTTGATTTTGAAGTAAAAAAATGCGGTCTGAAGTATATGATTTATGGAATTAAGATCAGGTCGTGAATCTTACATCGAGCTGATCATGGTGTTAATGATCACCAACCTATAAAAATGTATCCGTGTGGTGCATCGTATGTCTGTTGTGGCATTCATTGAGAAAAAGGTCAACACTCAATGCCTGTTTACTGAGGCCATTTACTCGGCAATGACCGATATGGTCTTAATGATCACCAATGGGATCCTTGAACCTATGTATGGATGATGGTATACCCCAGTGCCTGTTTACTGAGGGTCTGTCGGCAATGACCGGGCACTATTTCATCACCCTGGGATCCTGAGAATTGATGATAGATCATATACACCCTGCCTGTTTACTGAGGCCAGTTTGTCGGCAATGACCGATGTCTCTTCAACTATTTCATCATCGTCCCATGGGATCCTTGTCACCTAAGGATGGATAGATTATATAAGGTGAGTGCTTTCCATCATCCAAATTATTTCCTGTCAACTTCAGATAAAGGATTTATATAAATGGATCATCACCTTTAATATCATCATCCAACGGAACCATGGTCACCTGTGAATGGAGGGATTTCACAATTCAATCATCATCACCACCACCATAACCATCATCAGCAACATTCTCCTGTCAACATCGTCAACATCCCAAAGAATTCTTATTACCTTCATACCTGTAGATTGGGCAGAATTTAATCCCATTTCATCATCATTTTATTGTGATAGTCAATATCCCAAAGGATTCTTGTCACCTGTAGATTTGGTGGATTCCATCATTTAATCCCATTTCACCCCCACTTCATCATGACAGTCAACATCATCATCATCTCAGAGGATTCTTGTTGCCTGTAGATTGGGCGGATTACATCACTTAATCCCACTTCATCCTCACTTCATCGTGATAGTCATCATCATCATTCCAAACGATTCTTATCACCTATATCTACCAATCATCTGTTTTGTAAAACATTCCACTCATTAAGCATAATAAGGATTCTAATTTGTCACTGGTGAAATAATACGTGCCAAAAAATAGTTCTTATGATATTTACTTATTATACAGCAAACCTATAATTTCAGTTAGTTAAAATCGAAAGGATCAACTTCACTGCATAGGGTTTCATTCCAAAAAGGCTCAGTCTCTCACCACAGAAGGGTTTGCCATCTGTTGAGACTGTCACATGAAGTACAAACTCTGAAGCTCTGACGACAATCCCCAGGGATCTCCATAAAAATTGCACTCATGAATCAAATGAAGCAGCCATGAAACAAACCCATAACTTTCAAAGTGCAAAGCAAATGCTTGGCCATGGAGACCCCTGTCCAATATAAAAGTAAAGTAAAGGACCCTTTTCCATGCCATTAGGCGTATAGGGCTAGAGCTATATTTTTATAGATCAATCTGCACAAGCGCTGACATGATTGTTTAGAAACTGGCCACTCAAGGTTGGTTTGACCTGGGAGCCAAGGTCATTTTTGAAAAAGTCCGGCTCTGCCAGGGAGAACCCATGACCTTCCGATCCGCCGGCGAGCATCTAGCCGCTCGGGATTTCCCCCCTGTACAATTTTTTCCTTGTTATAGCTAAGAGCTGCTGCAAGCTTTGTCGGCCAGCCCCGAAGATCTAGGGTTCAGATCTGCATTAAGGCGGATTTCTTCTTTTTTTTCCTTGCTAACCGGCTACAAGCTCCGGCAGAAAGTCCTGGTTGTTCGTCCATTTGGACTCTGGCTTTGTGCCAGGGCCTGAGTTTTGTGTGCACATCCGTTTTACTTATTTATGTGCATTTGGTTGTTCCTGTCTCTCGAGCAGATGAACTTTGGCTTCAAAGGAAGTCCCCAATTTGTTGACTCCTAGGACATGCTTGTTGGGGAGGCAGTGGGTCTATTCTGATTTTCCCCACTATGGGGTTCCAAAACCTATATGGGGAGGATTTAAAAAAAAATTATTTTGGCTTCCAGATTCACCCAGCCTAAAATGGGTTCCAGGTAATGTAAAAGTAAAAAAGTGAAGGTCCCTTTTCCATGCCTGTAGGCTTATAGGGCATATAGGGCTAGACCTATATTTTTCATAGACCAATCGGCACAAGATGGGTGATGTGGTCAGCATCACACCGGCCGCCTTTACTTCCTGGGACTGCTCCTGGTACCCACTCAAGGCTGGGTCAACCTGTGAGTCAAGGTCATTTCTGAAAAATGTACGACTCCGCCAGGGAGCAAACCCACGACCTTCTGGTCTGCACACGAGCGTCTACCACTACGTCACGGCGACTCCCCCCCCCCCCCCTTTCCCCTAGTGATTCCCAAAATGTGCCGCAACATCGTCAGCAAAATATTCGATAATACACAAGATTTTTTTTTTAAATCTCTCACCTACGAATTGTCATACTTTTACTTAGGTTCGGGCGCCGTGGAAAAGTTTTAATTGGAAAAAAGGCGCCATGACTAAGAGAAGTTTAGGAAACACTGTGCTGGACAGTAAACATAGATGCCCTCAAGCACTGCTAGTTATATACAAACTTGAATGTTGGATTAAGAAATCAACATCATAACACTCAGGACACGCCCATAAATGCTCCGTCCTCATCTTCAGCAGCAAGTAAAGAGTTCCAATTCTGATGGCACCAGTAAATGTCTGAATGTAAATGTCTCGCCTTTCCCTTGAGTGATAAGCATCGGCCAGATCCCCTGGCAACTCCTCGCAGCGCCATTGTCCTCAGACCGTAATGATCTGCTTTTGCCTCCGCACAGTTTACTCCATCTCAAAGGGCTCTCACAAAATCTAGCTCGTCATTCACCAATTCACCACCAAGTTGTGCAGAACCAGCCAGTCTGTCTGCCTGCTCATTTCTTACAATGCTGACAGTACCTAGAGAAAATGTCCATATAGAACACAAACTACCCACACCTCTGAAGCAATGCTGACCATTCTGCACAGAGCATGCTTGCCTTCCCCTTTCTCAACATACTCTGTGAGTCAGTTACAATTACTCTCCCCCTTTCTCAACATACTCTGTGAGCCAGTTACAATTACTCTCCCCTTTTCTCAACATACTGTGTGAATCAGTTACAATCACTCTTCCCCTTTCTCAACATACTGTGTGAGTCAGTTATAATCACATATAAAAATATGAGATTAGCATCACATGCCGGAGGCCATTGTCATGAAAGGATGCTTTACTGAAAATTTCATAATGACAGCACTGAGTTTACAGCATTGAGAAATAAGAAAAAATCTATAAGGAAACAAATAAATCAGGCACATAGTAATGCGGTTTCTCTTAATGATATCCCACTTCAAGATGTGCAGTCGTAGTTGTAGTAATATATTCAACTCCACTAGGACATCACACAAGCGATAAACACCTGATGACACAAAGTGCCACCATGTGGATGAGGATCACCCGTAGAGACATCACGGAAACCTCGTTCAGCCACTCAGACCATAATTATGGCCGGGCTATATTGCGGCCCCTGGCAAGAGCCAGGGTGGGGCATCAAAGTAACGAAAAATTGCATCCCACAAGGGGATGACTAGTATATGTGCAGTCGTACACCTGTTTGGGCAGTAATGTAAAGATGGGGGAACTGATAGAGATATTAAAATATGAATATAAAAGGCAATAGGTGCTTTCATAGGACTAGGGAATTTGTGGAGGTCAAAAGAAATTAAAACTAGTACTAACCATTTTTAATTCTAATGTCAAATCAGTGCTGGTGTGTGGAGCAGAAACATGGAGAACAAGTAAAATAGTTATTAAAAAAACTACAAACATTCATTAACTGGTGCTCTGCAGAACAAAGAGAATTAAATGGTATGATTGAATCACTAATGTAGAGCTTTGGGACAAAACCAAACAAGTTCCAGTGGACCAAGAGCTAAAGAAAAGATGCTGCCACTGGATAGGCCAGACGTTGAGAAAACCTAAGAACAATATCTAGAATATCTTTGCATTGTGTAACCCACAGGGGCAAAGAAATAAAGGCAGACCAAAAAACACATGGAGAAGGGATGTAGAGAGTGAAGTTAAAAATATGGGAAGGACATGGGTAGAGCTGTGTAAAATAGCAAAGGATAGAATGACTTGGACAGATAATGCCTGACCTTGACAACAACAGAAAAAATAGAGAGAAAAATTATTACAACCGAAATGAGATTCATGTGAGGGCTCTAAATATAATAAAAAGAGATAAGATCAAAAATAATAAAATCCGAAGAAACATGGGAGTAGCAGCAGTTCTGGATTTCATAAGAGGACAACAGATAAAATGGTGTGGCCATATAACATGGATGTCAGCAAACAGTGTGCCACAGCAAGCAATGATGTACCACAGCAAGCAATGATGTGCCACAGCAAGCACGATGTGCCACAGCAAGCAATGATGTGCCGCAGCAAGCAATGATGTGCCGCAGCAAGCAATGATGTGCCGCAGCAAGCAATGATGTGCCGCAGCAAGCAATGATGTGCCGCAGCAAGCAATGATGTGCCGCAGCAAGCAATGATGTGCCGCAGCAAGCAATGATGTGCCACAGCAAGCAATGATGTGCCACAGCAAGCAATGATGTGCCACAGCAAGCAATGATGTGCCACAGCAAGCAATGATGTGCCGCAGCAAGCAATGATGTGCCGCAGCAAGCAATGATGTGCCGCAGCAAGCAATGATGTACCGCAGCAAGCAATGATGTGCCGCAGCAAGCAATGATGTGCCGCAGCAAGCAATGATGTGCAGACCAGATGGGAAGCAAAGAAGAGGCAGACCATGCAAGCAATGAATGGAGTGAATTACAGAGGCCCCGGGATCCCAATTTATGAAGTACGCAAACAAGCTCTTTCCAGTTATACTTCACCTAGACACCACAAGGTACAAGAGGATCAAGATGAGTTGAGAATGACTTGGCATCATTTGGTTGAAGGTCTATGCCCCACTGGGGGATAGAATACAGAAGAAGAAGAAGAAGAAGAAGCATCATATGCCTGAAGCCACTGGTATGAAAAAGATCCTTTACTTACTTATGTCATTATGACAGCACTAGCAGTCAAAAGTAGACAGCCTAACAGTATCTTACCTTAACTCCCTTGCTGTTGAGCTCTCCTGTGAGATAGCAGTAGAAAACTGACCAGACGTCTCGTTCATGGTTCAGTTCCTCACCCCACATGCTCAGCATTTCTTGCTTTGATAACTTAGTTGTCAAGTAAAACAGATGGTATGTCTTAATATCATTAAATGACGCAGCTCGTGAATCCCCCCAGCGGCCATTGGGGAACTCTTCCCAGGCAGAAGTTCGATATACATAGCTATTAGGCCGAGAACGCCAAAAAATTGGCCGAACATCCTCATCACACCGAGTATGATTTGCAGTTTGCTTCCACGGCAACATACGACATACTTTCTGCTTCCACATTCCCAGCTGTTTCAAGATTTCTGTCACGGCCACTTCTCGGTTCAGTGTGTAAAAATGCAAGCCAGGTGCCAGGCCAGAGTTGAGTAGAACACGACACATATCGACAGCTTGGTCGATACCATATTTCCTGATGGCCTCATCATTTCTTTGATAGCTGCTACAGCATTAATGATTTCTTGAGGCACTTGAAGTTTTGAAAGTTTCACAATGTGATGCAGTGACTGGTATGCCTGATAGTAACAAACAAATAAACAAAACTGGCCAAGTGTGTTACAATGAATGGTTTACTGGACAGGCCAGGAATTTCTTATCCAAATGGGGATAAAGGCGTAAAGGTAAACTTCACTGCACTTGGTTCTATCCCATATTGCTTGGTTTATTTCTGCAGAGGAGCTGGCTTTTTGCCAAAAACACTGCATGAAACATATGCTCCACAGTTCCATTCATCTTTATCATCACCATCAATATTATTATTTCCCTAGGAGGGTTCTTGGGCTCTATTGGAAAAGGGGGGGGGGGAGAACTAGATCCACATCTCATCTCTTTTGTAATAATATTCCACTCATTAAGCATAATAAGAATTCTAGTTAGTCACTAATATGGGCCAAAAATTAGTTCTTATGACATTTACTTAATATACAGAAAACCTACAGTTGCTTTATATACTACTATTTATACTCTCCAACAATTTCGTCATCATCCCACTGTATCCTTGTCACCTATGGATGTATGGACAGATTAGACAGCCAAATGCTCTTCATCATTATTCTCTTCCTCTTCATCATCCAAATGATTTCTTGTGGCGTTCAGACGAAGGGTTTGTGTTACTGATCAACAGGTATCTTTGAAAAAATGTCACTTGTGAACTGAATGACAGGGCCTCGAAAAATAAACCCATGACCTTCACAATATAAGGCAAACAGTTAGACAACTTCACCACTGAAACCTTCCTTCTAACATATTAATGAAACCAATGAAAGACATGGGTAAACCACTAAATTATCATCCTAGGAAAAGCTATTAAGGATGCAAGATATGACCAGGTTTTTTAATCACCCTTAAAAGGGAGAATGGTACTTCATTGACTCATATCTGTAATACCTTCGTCTTTTCCCAACACATCTGACTTCAGCAAAATTCCTTTTTGGTCACCTTTTTCAGTATGGAGCAGTGGGTCTTTTTTCTGTATGTGTGTGTCTCAAATGGGGCCCTGGAACCCAGACGAAATATGACCAGGTTTGACACTGGCCGAAACCTACTTTCATGGTGTATCTGTCCGCACACTGGATCCCCAGCACGCTCAATCTTTAAAAGGTCACCAAAGATCAGTGCGCCTCATTTCTCATGTGAGTTCGGGGCTCCCCTTTTGGGTAAAAAAAAAAAAACAGACCTCCCGCCCTTCAACTCCCCCCGCCCCATCCTTCCAGCAAGCCTGTCATACAAGGCATTTAGGGATATTTCCTTCAAAGTCAAAGCGCATCTGCCTGAGAGGTAAGAACCCAACAGTCAAATAAGTACAACTGTAAAATGGATAGGAATGCAAAACTCAAGTTCTGAAACAAGACCAAAGTCAAGAAGTGGATGAACAACAATAACTTTCTGCCAGAGTTTACAGCCAGTGAATGCTGAAAAGAAGAAAAAGTATGCTTCATGAGGGTCTTTATGGTGAAGCAGTTAAGACGTCTGCCCTTACTGGGCTATTGGTTTCAAGGAACATAGAAAAGGACCCTTTTGCGTATTCTGCATATAGTGCTAGACCTATTTTGATAGACCAACTGGTACCAGATGGGTGATATGGTCGACATCACGCCTGCTGCCTTTACTTCCCAGGACTCTACCTGGTATTCATTTAAGGTTGGGTCGACCTGGAAGCCAAGGTCATTTTTGAAAGAAAATAAAGTCCTGACTCCTTTAGGATGTGAACGCCCAACGTTTAGATCCGCAGGTGAGTGTCTAGTCACTACACCACAGCGGTTAGCCCCTGAATCAACATAATGACTCCCTTTATGTTAAAAAAAAAAGTAGAGGGACACAGTTCTTTACTTGTGTTTTGCACTTCGAACATACAATGCTAGAATTATATTTTTTAAACCAATCACAGCTCGATCGGTGATGTAGTCAACATATCGCCAGTCGCCATTATTTCCCAGTGCATTCACCGGTACCCATTTTAGACTAGATTGACCTGAGAACCATGGGGTAAAAGGGGGAGGGGTGGACACAGTGTGGCTTAAAGGATAGTGAATGAGTTTAACAATGTCACGATCCTCAACTATTAGAATTCGGTTTCCGGAGGGAAGAGTTTAGAAAAATGTTTTCATTGTTTTCGGACAGTAGTATGAGAGTCCTACCATAGAAATTATCGCAGTCTCAACATGTAATATTCTCCCAAGACAGTGGAGGTACATTTGTAGCCAATCTTTACTGTGGAGACATCTTTAGTTTTTTTTTTATACCAAGTACATTCTTGACTTTACAGACAACAGTGTAAAAACTAACCTGAATAGGTAAAATGCCAGGTAATATTGGAACAGTAATGCCTAATTTTCGACAATCACTGACATAATTCAAAAATGTTTCAGCCTTGAAGAAAAGCTGAGTGATGATAAAGTCAGCCCCTGCATCCACTTTCTCTTTGAGATGTCTGAGGTCTTCTTCATAGGACTTACATTCTGGGTGTCCAGTTGGGTAGCCTTTTTGAGGTAGAAATGACCCATATTAGAACTATCTCTTCATGAAAAAGTACAGAGCATATTTATAAAATTGTTGAATGACAGCTCACAGTATTTAAATGAGTTTATTTCATCATTGTCGTCGTTGCTGTTGCCCCCGTCATCGTAGGCTGCTGCTGCTTCTTCTTCTTCTTTTGCTGCTGTTGCTTCTTTTTCTTCTGCTACTACTGCTTCTCCTTCTTATTATTATATTATTATTCCCCTCCTGTTTTTTCAGTCCACACTGGTGTTAGTAATGCTGTTTGCTCACAGCCTTCTGTCTTGTGTCTTGTCTATTTTTTCTGCTACAGATGTTCTTCCGTGTCATGTTATCATTTCTTGTATTTGTCTTCATCATCATCATCATCCCGTAACACTGTGTGTCGTTGGCTCACCAGTTTCTGTTAACTGTCTGATCAGCTCCCTCCACTTTGGCGGTCAGATGCGATGGACTTCATGGTTGCATGCCTGAGGCCTGTCTAGTCAGTCAAGTTCTATATCCAGGTCTTTCTTCTCCTCTTTCCCCTCTACTGTGATCTGACTGAAAAGAATATGATGAGATGAGTTGATGGATTTTGTGAGATGATGATACAGTTATTTTAATAGTTAATTGTTACCTATTTATTAGCTGTAATGATGGCCCTAGCTAATGTGGTGACACATCATGAATTGTAGCATGGTAGGTATCATAGATGTGGGGTGATTAAATAAGGTATAGCGACATATATGAAATGGTAGTGGAATGCTGATAAGGACCAGTGGATAATGCAGTAAAGAGAAACAACAATTGATAGATGACATGATGACCTATGTGAGACTGTAGGTGTGATGATAGTGATGAAGTTGATAGATGACATGATGACCTACACGAGACCGTGGGTGTGATGATAGTGATGAAGTTGATAGATGACATGATGACCTATGTGAGACTGTAGGTGTGATGATAGTGATGAAGTTGATAGATGACATGATGACCTACGTGAGACTGTAGGTGTGATGATAGTGATGAAGTTGATAGATGACATGATGACCTACGTGAGACTGTAGGTGTGATGATAGTGATGAAGTTGATAGATGACATGATGACCTACGCGAGACCGTGGGTGTGATGATAGTGATGAAGTTGATAGATGACATGATGACCTACGTGAGACCGTAGGTGTGATGATAGTGATGAAGTTGATAGATGACATGATGACCTATGTGAGACTGTAGGTGTGATGATAGTGATGAAGTTGATAGATGACATGATGACCTATGTGAGACTGTAGGTGTGATGATAGTGATGAAGTTGATAGATGACATGATGACCTATGTGAGACTGTAGGTGTGATGATAGTGATGAAGTTGATAGATGACATGATGACCTATGTGAGACTGTAGGTGTGATGATAGTGATGAAATTGATAGATGACATGATGACCCTATGTGACTGTAGGTGTGATGATAGTGATGAAGTTGATAGACATGATGACCTACGTGAGACTGTAGGTGTGATGATAGTGATGAAGTTGATAGATGACATGATGACCTACGCGAGACCGTAGGTGTGATGATAGTGATGAAGTTGATAGATGACATGATGACCTACGTGAGATTGTAGGTGTGATGATAGTGATGAAGTTGATAGATGACATGATGACCTATGTGAGACTGTAGGTGTGATGATAGTGATGAAGTTGGTAGATGACCTACGTGAGACCGTAGGTGTGATGATAGTGATGAAGTTGATAGATGACATGATGACCTATGTGAGACTGTAGGTGTGATGATAGTGATGAAGTTGATAGATGACATGATGACCTACGCGAGACCGTAGGTGTGATGATAGTGATGAGTGTACTCTGGAATGATGGTTTATATGTGAAATTATTACCGAGATGAAGTGTTAGTGATAAAGTGTTACTGATGAAGTGTTACTGATGAAGTGTTACTGATGAAGTGTTACTAATGAAGTGTTACTGATGAGTGTTACTGATGAAGTGTAACTGATGAAGTGATGAAGTGTTACTGATGAAGTGTTACTGATGAACTGATGAAGTGTTGAAGTGTTACTGATGAAGTGTTACTGATGTTACTGATGAAGTGTTACTGATGAAGTGTTACTGATGAAATGTTACTGATGAAGTGTTACTGATGAAGTGTTACTGATGAAGTGTTACTGATGAAGTGTTACTGATGAAGTGTTACTGATGAAGTGTTACTGATGAAGTGTTACTCATGAAGTGTTACTCATGAAGTGTTACTCATGAAGTGTTACTGATGAAGTGTTACTCATAAAGTGTTACTGATGAAATGTTACTCATAAAGTGTTACTGATGAAATGTTACTCATAAAGTGTTACTCATAAAATGTTACTGATGAAATGTTACTGATGAAGTGTTACTGATGAAGTGTTACTGATGAAGTGTTACTGATGAAGTGCAGAGGAAGCACAAGTGATAATATTGCGGTCTGAATTACTATAATAATACAAGTTAAAAATAGTAATGACAAAGATTAAAAGTATTTGGAACGATACATGGCCTAGGTGAAATGATAATCAGATCATGACAGTTACAGATTGTGTGGCATAGGTGAAACAATAAAGGAAAGGTGATAAGGACAAATTAATATAGGCATGCAGTCTATATGTAGATTTAGAGATGATAGCTGGATTTGTGACACAGAGGAAATGATCATGAAACTGTGATAAAGGTCAATTAGTACTGGCATGCAATTTAATCTGAAAAAGAAATGATAGAGATCTATACAGCTCACTAGTTACATCAATTAAAACAAGGCATGCAATCTAATTAGAGCAAAAAGTTAATAGCAACAATATATAAAAAACTCAACCGGAAAATATATACTTTATTAGGGGAACATAATATTCAACTAGACAAAAAGTTTTAATATTAATTAACTAGTATGATTTATACACTTTATAGGCATGTATATCTTCAGGTTGTAAAGATGAATTAGTTCCTTAATGATTAATAATAATACCATAATAATTCCTAGATTTTTTTTAGGAGTGGGGTAACTTCTTAGGATGTCCCATTTTCAGCTCAAAATGTTAGTGGGATGTCCCATTTTCAACTCAAAATGTTAGTGGGATGTCCCATTTTCAACTCAAAATGTTAGTGGGATGTCCCATTTTCAGCTCAAAATGTTAGTGGGATGTCCCATTTTCAACTCAGAATGTTAGAGAGATGTCCCATTTTAAGCTCAAAATTTCAGTGGGATGTCCTGTTTTTAGCTCAAAATTTTAGTGGGATGTCCTGTTATCAGCTCAAAATTTTAGTGGGATGTCCTGTTTTCAGCTCAAAATGTTAGTGGGATGTCCTGTTTTCAGCTCAAAATTTTAGTGGGATGACCTGTTTTCAGCTCAAAATGTTAGTAGGATATCCCGTTTTCAGTCCAAGATATTATGGTCACCCAGGTTATCGCCTATGCCAGAACAGTCAGTAAAGTAAACTGAAGACCCCTTGTACACAAATGGCACAAGATGCTAGAATCCTATTTTTATATCAGCACTCAGCGGGTGATGTGTTCAACATCATGTCAGCCACCTTTACTTCCCAGGACATCACCTGGTACCAATTTTAGGCTGGGTCGGATTGGCAGCCAAGGTCACCTGAGAAAAAAAACTTCCTGAATGAGGATCTGAACCCAAGATCTTCTGGCTGGCAGGTTAGTTAGCATCTAGCTATTGCTACACTACCACAGCTTCCTAGTCAAAATAGACACACAGTAACCTTGATCACTGAAGTAGATGGTAGGTTATTAAGAGGGTTATGGTGTGAGTTATCTTCTTCTTCTTCTTGTTCACCGGCTGTGAATTCCGGCGGTAAGTCGCGGTTGTTCGTCCAAAATGGACTTTTAGCTTTTACCTTGACCTGAGTTTTGCGTGTACATCCGTTTTACTGGCTTATTTGTTCGCAGTTCTCGTTCCCCGCCTCTCCGGCAGATGTACTCCGACTTCGGAGGAGGTGTGAGTTATGTTTTACAAAAGACTTGCTACATGGCGATGACGATCTTACCGGCAACACATATTACAAAAAGTCGCCAAACTCTTCACGAATTAATCGCACCAGGTCAACAGCATAGTTAAGTCCTCCAGTTGTTACTGGCCAGTCTGTGTTTCCTTCTGGGATATCTGAACCAATCAGACAGAAGAAGAATAAATGATGTGACCAATAAGACAGAAAAACAATTAATGATGTAATCAATCAGACAGAAGAATAATTAATGATGCGACCAATCACACAGAATAATAGTAAATAATGTGACCAATCAGACAGAAGAATAATTAATGATGTGACCAATCAGACAGAAAAATAAAAAAAAATGATGTGACCAATCAGACAGAAAAATAAAAAAAAAAATGATGTGACCAATCAGACAGAAAAATAAAAATTGATGTGACCAATCAGACAGAAAAATAAAAATTGATGTGACCAATCAGACAGAAGAATAAAAAATGATGTGATCAACCATAAAATTAAAAAAAGAAAATCAATTTTCTTGAATATTTATTTTTACTCATGAAAAAGATTGAGGAAACATGGATGTCCAATAGGCACTCAAAGATGAATTTCCTGAGAGAGGCCAAAGGTGCTGGACATAATGGTATTGAGGACTAGACTGCAAGCCCTAAGTGAGAGATGATGATGATGTGTCTCTAAAGACAATTATGTAGTTAAAATAACATACAGAATATAACATACAGAATATCAGAAGGAGACAATCCACATTGTTTTTATTCATGTCAGAATTATTGAAAAACTAAAGTATAGCATGCCTGATAGAAAAGTAGGAGTGAAAGAGATGCTGGGGGACAGTAGATGCCAAAAACTGTAGCTTACTGGCATGGAGAGATATCTGCATCATAAATTATTGGCAGTAACTTGTCAGAGGGCAGTGGGCAGTGGGCAAGTACAATCACTAATGGCATGCACTTTTAGAAGAAGAATCGTAACTCTTGATTTAAAGTAAAGTTCCTTTTTCCATGACTTTAGGCGTATAGGGCTAAACCTATATTTTTATCCACCAATCGACACAAGATGGGTGATGTGGTCAGCATCACGCCGGCCATCTTGACTTCCCAAGACTGCACCTGGTACCCACTTAAGGCTGGGTTGACCTGGGAGCCAAAGTCATTTTTGACAAAAGTCCGGCTCCGACAGTGAGCAAACCCACGATCTTCTGATCCGCACGCCAGCGTCTAGCTGCTACGCCATGGCGAATCCAAACTCTTGATGTAGATACACAATTACAAACATATAAGCAGAGTTACCTCCTCGTAAAGCCAGAATGTTTCTGATTCCCAGCCCCTTTGCTTTGCAGAGGTTGTCCTTAACTTTATCAGCTGTTGTCTGGGCACAGGTCATGTGCAGCATGGTATCAATTCCACAGTAGTTTAGCATAATCCCAGCCATGCAGGTGGAGCTAGTGGGTTTCTCAGTGTTTGAGGGGTCGCTGGCAGGGTGCCAAGTGATGTCACAGAACAAGGGGTTGCTGGCAGCTAGACGTTCAAATCTATGACATGAAGTCAATCAATCAGTCAGAGCTAGGAAATCAAATCTGCGACATGAGTTCAGTCAATCAATCAACCAGTCAGTCAATCAAAGCTAGGCATGCAAATATATGACATGAAGTCAATAAGTAAGAGCTAGGTATTAAAATATGTGACATGAAGTCAATCAATCAATCAGTCAGTCAGTCAGTCAATCAGTCAATCAACCAGTCAGTCAATAAAAGCTAGGCATGCAAATATATGACAAGAAGTCAATAAGTCAATCAATCAGAGCTAAGTATTCAAATCTGTGACAGGAAGTCAACCAGAGTTAAAACACTGAAATCTGTGATGTAAAATGAATGAGCGAATCAATCAGTCAGAAACAGAATTCAAATCCGTCACAAGAAATAGAACAATCAGAACTAGACATTCAAATCTTTTACGTAAACTGAATCAGTCAGTCAAGAAACTAACCAGTCAGGTGTAAAATTACACTTCTGTTACTTTCAATCCCTGCAGACCCAAAGCGCTTGCTATTTAAATAAATAAATCATGTGGCATCTCCATAACAAGGGCTGTCTGCAATGCATCTTCGACCCTGTTTCTGGCTCTGGTGGCACTTGAACTACTGTTTGCCTTTCACTGGATATTCTTCTCCCACCTGTATCACTGTCTGCCTGTTTTTTTTTTGTGTCTCTGTTAAATTTTCCCTCATGTATGATATTTTTAAGAGTGCGTGCCTTTTAAATTTGCTTAATCTGCCATCTATACAATAAAGTTTGGCTGCAGTTTATCTAGCACTAATTATGGGAAAATTACTTGGTTAGCCCCAATCTCTTCCAAAGTGTAACATCTCTTTTTTTTTTTTTAGCACCCTTCTGCCTTTTCAGACGATAGTGTTATACTGTGTTATGAGGAAACATGGCACTCGGAGTCTATGGTAATGGCGAGTGTCTCTAGCAAGCCCCACTTACATCAATAAATGACTTGAACAATTATAGCATGGGATTTCAGAATCACTGTTGTCATCACAGTACAAGGGGACGTCATTAAGTATGTCATAAATGGTTATATGATGGCAGGAGAATTTAGTTGATGGTTTCTAAAGGTGTCATTAGGTGACAGCAACATCAAACTATGTCTCCTTTCATTTTGTGGTTCTAGGTGTTGCATGCCCATTCACAACACAGAAACAAAATGGCGACTGTACTTATGACATATACCCTCAAAGAACAATGTGATGTGCCGTTTTTTTGGGGGCAAAATGCTGCTCGCAAAGGACATTCATAAGGAAATGTTTCCTGTTTATGCTGAAAAAACGTTTATCCCATAAAGCGGTAAACCCACCTTGACAGGAGACATTTCGCAAATGATGCAGAAGTTGAATGTGAAGTGAAAATGTAGTTTAGAAAACAGAGCATGCAGTTCTATGCAGCAGGTTTGGGAGGACTGATAAAACAATGGGCAAGCGCATCAATGTTGGTGAAATTTTGTTGAAAGATAAAGGGACAGTGTATGTGTAAAAATAAATGGTTTCCAAGTTGTTATCATCTATAGTTTTTGTTTTTGTTTTTCTAAATAACTTTTTGTGACTTACTTATTGACTTCCAATCATATTTAGTGTGTTACTTCTAAGGTACTCAGGTCTCACCTTTCTGTGATCATTTATTTATTCATGCTCATTCCTTCCAAATTAAGAGGGGGAAAAAGTAGAGGAAAACTGAGAGAGAAGATGCTAGATAGTCTGACATCATGGCATTGAAGATTATTTGTGTCAGAAATGAATGAAAGTACCCAGGGCAGAAGGCTGTGGATAGATATGACTGCCAAAGCCAGCACAGACTTCAAGAATTATAATATGAAAATTACACCTAGGGGACTTAACCTTTGACCCAGTTTCACCTAATCTCCCTGAGTCATAGCTCTTGGTATTCTCAGGCTATTTATTCTTGGTAGCATAACATGTTTTTCATTCGACTGTCCAGACAACAATGGGACTGCTATCTGGAATATGTCATCATGTGTCAGCAAAGTGATTTAGTGTTTTCTTGTCTGTACATATGGTTTTGTTGATTTATATAATATGCTGAAAAAGCCTCTCTAGCTTCAACATTCACCTTCTGGTTGTGTTTATTATATTGTGAAGCTCGCTAGTCTACTTTTTGTTTGGTCTCATGTCTTTTCCACACTATAAGAAGAAGATATAAGTTAACAGGAAAAGTTAGTAGACTATCCTTTATAGGACGTTGCAGAACCAATCCTAGTATTTTTTTAGGGGGCTGTCGTGGTTTTCCTCGGCAAAATTTACATTCAGTAGTGTACTGCTGTTTACGGAACAGTCAGCTCTTGATACCACTGCACTGTTGAAACCAACATTAGGTGAAAAATTGCCTGCAGCTGGGATCGAACCCGGCACCCAGGCATTATGAAGTGCGTTCACAATGCCAAAGCCACATACCTCGCAGGGAAATCAGTAAAATAAAGGATCATTTTCATGTCAACAGTACCTTGGCCCATATGGTGCTAAACCTAGATTTTTGTAGACCAATCAGCACTTAGGCACTGGATAGGACAGATGTTGAGAAAACCTGAGAAGAAAATAACTAGAATGTCTTTGCAATGGAACCCACAGGGGCAAAGAATTAAAGGCAGACACCCCCCCCCCCACACACACCCACCATGAAAAAAAAGATGGAGAAAGGACATTAAAAAGAGGGAGAGGACATGGAATAAGGTGCATTCAGCAGTGAAGAACAGAACAATTTAGCATGAGCTGGTTAAGGGCTTAAGCTCCATATGGGGGATAGAAGGCAGAAGAAGATGAATCATCACTGATGGGCTATATGTATGTTTATGCTGGCCGCATGAATGTCTCAGGATATTTCCTGGTACCCATTTTAGACTGAGTTGACATGTAAGCCCAAGTCAATTTAAAAACAAAAACCTCCATTATGCAGATTCAAATCAAAAACATTTTAGCCAACAGGAAAGCATTGAGGCTGAGAGGTATTACATACTGTGTTAAAAAAACATATTAAATAAGTTATATTATGGTGTTTTATTAATATTTTTTGTTTAAAAGCATAATAGCTACAGATAAGAATTTTCACTTTGTCATAATTCTGATATGCAAAACCTGTGTAATTTAACTAGTGAAATGTTAGCAGTAGTAAATTCTACCCCGCCAGAACATCACACACAGCGATAAACATCTGGTGATACAAAGTACCACCATGCGGATGAGGATCCCCTGTGGAGAGGTCCCGGAAACCACATTCAACAGTTAGGCTATATTGCGGCTTCAAAATAACGAAAAACTGTATCCTACAAGGGGATAACACAGTAATGTTAGTAGATTCAAGTGAAATGGTTTATACTACACACAATTAGTGTTCAATCAATCAGTTGGAAGTTAGTTCATCTGCTTCTGGATCACTAATAGTTTTTAGGGTCAATTCTTTCAAGTCAACTAATAAAAATGTGCCATCAGATAACTATGCATAAAAAAAAAAATTCAAACAGAAAAAGGATATCAGATAATTAAAAATTTTTTTAAAGGATAAAATTATGGCTACATTCTTCTCTTAACTGCATCCCTAGCATTTGCTTGTCTTAAATTTTTCATCAAAAATGATTTGTATTCGATGATGGCTAAATTATGCACCTGGAAATTAAGTTCATTGCTCCACTGTTCGTATGTGGTGGGAAAAACTCCAAAGAAAAAAATGGCTCTCCACTTTTCTCCCTCTTACGGATTTTGTCAATCAATGGCAGACATTTTTGCTTACAAAATCTTGGAGACATAGCTCTGACATTTGCATGAGATAATGATAATGCTGCATACAGTTTAGAGTCAAAATTGATGGAGGTGCCTCGCAAACTGTCTGCCATGTTTACACTATGATCATCAGTACTGCTCTCTGGAAGTTGTGGTTGATAAGTTGGTGCTGCTGCTGCTACTGTTGTTGCTGCTCCATTCAGTTGCTGAACACCACTAGCAGTATGTGTTACCGTAGCTGCAACAACAGCATCTGGGGCAACTTCTGGCATTGTTGCCACTTTGATTCAGCACCTGAAATTTTAAATAACCATAAATTCATTAATTTATTATCGGACATTTTTGTATCTAGTATTCTTATATGTATCTGGCATTTACGTATCTGACATTCATGTATCTGGCATTCTTGTATCTGGCATTATTGTATCTAGCATTTGAGTATAAGGTATGTGTATCTGTCATTTGTGTATCTGGCATTCTTGTTTCTAGCATTTGAGTATATGGTATGTGTATCTGTCATTTGTGTATCTGGCATTATTGTATCTAGCATTTGAGTATAAGGTATGTGTATCTGTCATTTGTGTATCTGGCATTCTTGTTTCTAGCATTTGAGTATATGGTATGTGTATCTGTCATTTGTGTATCTGGCATTCTTGTTTCTAGCATTTGAGTATATGGTATGTGTATCTGTCATTTGTGTATCTGGCATTCTTGTTTCTAGCATTTGAGTATATGGTATGTGTATCTGTCATTTGTGTATCTGGCATTCTTGTTTCTAGCATTTGAGTATATGGTATGTGTATCTGTCATTTGTGTATCTGGCATTCTTGTTTCTAGCATTTGAGTATATGGTATGTGTATCTGTCATTTGTGTATCTGGCATTCTTGTTTCTAGCATTTGAGTATATGGTATGTGTATCTGTCATTTGTGTATCTGGCATTCTTGTATCTAGCATTTGAGTATAAGGTATGTGTATCTGTCATTTGTGTATCTGGCATTCTTGTTTCTAGCATTTGAGTATATGGTATGTGTATCTGTCATTTGTGTATCTGGCATTCTTGTTTCTAGCATTTGAGTATATATGGTATGTGTATCTGTCATTTGTGTATCTGGCATTCTTGTTTCTAGCATTTGAGTATATGGTATGTGTATCTGTCTTTGTGTATCTGGCATTCTTGTTTCTAGCATTTGAGTATATGGTATGTGTATCTGTCATTTGTGTATCTGGCATTCTTGTTTCTAGCATTTGAGTATATGGTATGTGTATCTGTCATTTGTGTATCTGGCATTCTTGTTTCTAGCATTTGAGTATATGGTATGTGTATCTGTCATTTGTGTATCTGGCATTCTTGTTTTCTAGCATTTGAGTATATGGTATGTGTATCTGTCATTTGTGTGTATCTGGCATTCTTGTTTCTAGCATTTGAGTATATGGTATGTGTATCTGTCATTTGTGTATCTGGCATTCTTGTTTCTAGCATTTGAGTATATGGTATGTGTATCTGTCATTTGTGTATCTGGCATTCTTGTATCTAGCATTTGAGTATAAGGTATGTGTATCTGTCATTTGTGTATCTGGCATTCTTGTTTCTAGCATTTGAGTATATGGTATGTGTATCTGTCATTTGTGTATCTGGCATTCTTGTTTCTAGCATTTGAGTATATGGTATGTGTATCTGTCATTTGTGTATCTGGCATTCTTGTATCTAGCATTTGAGTATATGGTATGTGTATCTGTCATTTGTGTATCTGGCATTTTTGTATCTAGCATCTTTATTTCTTTATTCGAGTAACTGGCATTCATGATTTGGTTCTTGCATGTGAGTCTGGTGCTTTATTAATATCTTACCCCAAACAAGGGAAATGCACAGGTCACGAGACAGTCTAATATTTCAGGGGGTGGTAGATAAGCTGCATGCAGTAGTGGGACCTAGGCTGCATGCATGCACTCTCTCGTGGGATATAGGTGGGTTAGGGTCAGTTTTAGATGTTACTGGGTCCTTAAAGTGGCAGTCTTGTATTGGACAATGAACAATCATAATCATTTTAAAGACTAAAGAAGAAATAAAAAACAGCTTATCACAAACATTAAAAACAGGAAGTTGTTATCATGTTGACAAGACTGTAATCTTTTATATTCCAGTTATCTTTTTAACCTGGTAGACCCAATCATTTGCTTCGTAAAGTAAACATGAAAGTTAGAAGAATGGGTTAAAAGCTTTCTTCAATGAAAAGATTAAATATATCAATTCTACAGCTATTTTCATCAATATTTTATAACTTTATTTTACAAAACAAGCTTCTTCCTCTGCTTCTTTGCGTTCAACAACTGTAAACTCTTGTGGAAAGTTCTGGTTGTTCGTCCACTTCTGGACTGCAGTCCTGTTCCAGAACCTGAGTCAATCATTTCTGTCTATTTTAAATTATTTTTTTTAAAGTAAAAACTATCCCTGTGTGTGTTCAGGGGCCCCAGAGTGTGGGAAGGGGAACAAGCATGTCTTAAAAGTTGATTAATTATGAATGTTTCTTTCGTAGTCAGAATGATTCCACCTGAGAGGCAAGGAACCAACAGTCTGCATATAAATAAGCTAGATTGTAAAATAGATGTGAATGCAACACTTGTTCTGGAACAAGACTGAAGTCCAGAAGTGGACAAACAACCAGAACATTCCGCTTGAGTTTACAGCCAGTGATGGCTAAGAAGAAGGAGAGGAAGAAGAAGACGAGAAAATAAAAACTAACTCTACTTCTTCACATGCTTCAATCAGATTTAGTGGGCTGCGTGGCCTCGAGGCATGGTGTCTGCCTCAAGTGCTAGAGGTGACGGGTTCAATCCCCTGTAAGCGCTGGAAATATTTTTAACGTAGACTTGGAATTCTAGTAATTCCCCCTGCTCTCTGGCTAGTGAGATTGGACGCCCGTGTGCTTTGTTGCGCACGTAAAAGATCCACTGGCAGTTGGAAATCGAAAAGAGTAGCCTGACGACGCTGCCCGGGCAAAATGTGGAGTTAAAAATCTACTCAAGGTATTTCAGTCGGTGCTACAGAGCCTGTGTACTGTGTTAGCCTCTTCGGACTCAGACTTGAGTTACAAGTAGAATGGAGCACTTATGGGTTAATACCCGTATGATACTGATCCGCTGTTAAAACTAGCGACTATGGTGTTCGACAATTGGCGGTCTTTTGGCAATTTCCGTTACCATGGAAACCGTTCGAAACTTGCTTCGCAAATGTCGGCTGGGGTTTCGGGATGGGTCCTAATCTCTCATGAAATTTTGCGGTTGGTGTGATTTTCACCAACTATAAAAAGCTGAAAACGGCGGGAAGGAACCCAATTAACAGCGCATGTCTACGACAGCCGGATGTCCTCTGTTTTTCTGTTACAACTTACATCAGTTTGATTAAAAACAGCGGCTCTACTGTCAAATTTGGCCGGTAAGCTGGACTGCTTCGGCCGGCTTAGCGGGGCTTAGTGGGAGTTATGTCCCTTGGCCAACTCAAAACAACTCAAAACAAGTCGCGGAAAGAGTCACGAATCAAATGACATACTTACCTATCATCATCCGGGTGCATGTAGGGTTGCGTAGGGTGTCTATCATCGTCCTACGGTTGCGTGTAGGGCTGCTTGTTGCGTGTAGGGTTGGTTGTTTGCGTAAGATAGATGAGGGGTAGGGTTAGGGGTTAGGGTTAGGGTTAGGGTTTAGGTTTAGGGTTAGGGTTAGGAAATAATTGACGGGAACGACCATCGTGACTGACACTTGGCAAGGCTACAGCAACGTCGCAAACTTAAGGCATAGCATCTATCTGCACGAGGTAGTAGTCCACCAGACCAACTTCGTCGACGTCGCGCACAGTCACATACACACACAAACAATCGAGGGCTTGTGGATGTTGGTGAAACGATCAATTCGCCAGCGACTGGGCACCAGCCGCCCGCTATTGGCGTCATATTTGACAGAGTTTCAGTGGCGCCACTCCCACAAACGTCAGATTGTCCGCCACTATTTCGACCTCCTACGTGAAAATTTTCAAACAAATCGAACCATACCCCTAAACCCTAACCCCTAAACCCTAACCCCTAAACCTAAACCCTAACCCTACCCCTCATCTATCTTACGCAAACAACCAACCCTACACGCAATAAGCAGCCATACACGCAACCGTAGGATGATGATAGACACCTTATGCAACCCTACACGCACCCGGATGATGATAGGTAAGTATGTCATTTGTTTCGTGACTTTTTCCGCGAGTTCTTTTGAGTTTGGCCAAGGGACATAACTCCCGCTAAGCCGGCTGAAGCAGTCCAGCTTACCGGCCAAATTTGACAGGAGAGCCAAAATAGCGTTAAGTATTCGAGGTTGGCTTTAGGCTTTAACTGTTACTCGTACTGGTAATGCTAGTTATAATTGAATTCTCCGTCCAATTTTACATTTGTATATACAATTTCTTTCTTATCAGTGGCTTTTTAGATTTACAGGGACATTTTTCTGGCTATCGCTAATTATCATTAATTATCATGGAGGAAAATAGCGTTAAGTATTCGAAGTTGGCTTTAGGCTTTAACATTACTCGTACTGGTAATGCTAGTTATAATTGAATTCTCCGTCCAATTTTACATTTGTAAATAAAATTTCTTTCTTATCAGTGGCTTTTAAAATTTACAGTGACATTTTTTAGGCAATCGGTATGTGGCTGTGTCTTATTGTCTGCCATCTTGTCCAATCAAATACTTCTTCATGCTGCATAAAAAGGAAAACATATATTTAATTATGTTTAGATTATGTATATCCCGTGTTACCGTTATATGATCAGCACATTCACTGATTCCTTAGCGTCTCTAAAGCCACGAAATCAGATTTCAGCGTGCAGTTGTGCGAGGTAGGTACATCACTATGAAACCAGAAAGATCGTAGAAAACAAACAAACAGTGAGTAAATGCGACGTTTGTTAACGTCCAAAGTCTCCAGATAAACTGAGCCGGTTTGTAAACAAGGGGGGTTTCCTCAGTCCTTGACCTCGTCTAGTGCGAATATAGACATGACCTGACCTGACCTGACCTTACCTTGCGTGGTACAAATAGTGCCTTTAAATGTCTTTATTACTTCTACATATGCTTCCTTATCCATTTCTCTCCATTCCTTCCTTATTCTTATTCTATTTCGTTTTTTCCCTTCTCTCATGTTTCCCTTCTCTTTCCTTTCATCATTCCTCCCTTCTTCTTTTTTTTTTACTTGGTTTGTCAACTGCAAATATGTCTTGATAAGACATT